TTCTCATCTGCATAATTTCGTGTAGCCATGCAGACGGGTCCTTCCACCTCACTGACAGCCTGTGTTTTTTTTAATGTTACGCAGATAACATTATTGGATGATTCCGTCAATAATAATATTTAAAAGGTATGAAAATGATGTGAATTGATTCGAATCTGCAGATAATTGTAATGATTTTTTTATGTATTCAGCCTGGCTCGCCCATGCCATTCAAGTGGAGTCCAGTATTGCCAACGGTGTCTATGAAGAAACTTGATGCTATTTATGAGATGCGTTGGGCTAAGAAGCCGAAAAAGTACATTGTTAAGGTTATACAGATTACAGTAATATTTGGCTTATAAATTTAAAACTTCTGATATTTCCCTGAAAGTTTTCGTCTGGCTGTTGGAATTTTTCCACCGATTTTTCCCCTACTTGAATTCGAAATTTTGGGGGTAGCTGTCATGTCATTTAATCAGCCTTCATTTATATGTGAGGGCCTGCTTGCGATCCTGACGTTTGTTTTGTCTCTTTAAACATTTTACATAAATTCTCAGAGGTCGCTTTTCAAGGTTGATGCAACCGATTCGGCGATTGCTGATGCCGGTTTCCAGTACTTCAAGGAATGCCGACAGATAGAAGTGATGAAATTAAATTTTTGTGATTTTTTCACTGATCGTGCAATCGAGCATCTTATTATTGGTCGACCATCACGGACAGTAAGGAATATAGTAAGTTTTAGACCAATAGAATCTCTCTATCAGTTCAGCACAAAAATTTAGAGTTAAGAAAGAATAATAAATGTTAATCGAAATTGGATTCCAGGAGATTGTCGCAAATCCATACGTGAGTGATAATTTCGTCAAATGGATCACCCGAATACGAGGATTACAACGAGCGCATTTTTACTTCCTACCGTGTGTGACGCACCAGAAAGCTTTTTTGGAAACCATGAAAAATTCGCTGCCAAACTGTTTAATCAGTTTCCCGGAGCTGCAAAAAGTTGGTTTCGGCTATGATAGCTCCGAGAATAGCAACAAAAAGTCAGTATTTTTTTTTTTTTTGTATAGGTTTGTTGACAACCAATCGTTCTACGATTTGTTCATTCGTTGAATGATAAATTGATACTGGCATACATTAGAAAATAAAATCCGTTATCAGCTTACTTCTAAGCAATCCTCGAAAAAAGAAGCCATCAACGCCTTGCCAGTGATTGATAGCTGCCGTTGGCATCTGCTGCTATTTAAGTTAATTTTCGATTGCCTTCATTTTTAAGAGAACGAATACTGAAAGAGTTTTGACTTTTGACGAGATTTAATTCATCAAAATATTTTTACTACTTTATTTTGGAAAAACCGGCGGAGCAAATTCATTGCTTTTTAATTTAAAAATTCAGATTTCGCCCATGAATTCACGCGCAATTTATAGGGTGCTTGCGAAAAGTGGCGAAGCTGGATGATGTTCCGCTCATTCCAGTAATTTTCATGTGTTTATTGGGTCGTCAAAATTAAAGAATAACGCCTTACATAGAACGCTGCAGCTATTTGAAGGCACAGCTAATATATGTTACGTATTGTTCTGTGGTCCCAATGGTTTGGCGACGCATTCACGGGGCGCGGGTGCATTTGCCTTATCGAGATGAGTTATCATTGACAGAGGGATAAGGTTAGCGAAGGGTTTTTTGGCACATTTTTGAAATGAAAAAATTTGAGCTTTAACATTTTTGAAGGCACGGGACAGCTTATGTTTTATTTGACAAGATAATTTTGTCCTCATTTTGGAGGATTTTTGTACAACGTTGTTGAGTTACAGATTGACAATCGATGTTTATTTCACCATTATGCTACAAGATTTTTTGTGTGCTTTTATATCTGATCTGAACTGTATTTGATTCGTCTTAATTATAAAGTAATTTATAAAGAGATTTCTTCGTTCTCGCAAAAAAAAATCAGGTTAAACGGGTCACTAAAGGAAGAAATTTTAATGTATTTGCCACATCAAAATATCCCTATTGTTAATTGAGCATGGCTGATTGTTTCTAAAACCAACCATCACAGATTTAATTGCATTGAATTGTAAGGCGTGCGGGAAAAACAGTTAGAAAAAATTATTGGCTTAGCTGTTTTTTTTGCCTCACACTGCCAATATTAAATGATAAAACTTTTTACGAAGCATCAAGATTAAATGTTAAGAAGTCTTGCGTGAAAAACATTTTAGAAGGTGTTGAGCTTTACATGTTTAGCTGTGGAAAGCAGCATACGATTCCGCCAGTAGGGCAGTTGGCCTCTTTACGATTCGTTCATCCGTTTCGATGGCAAATTAATGTGAGCATACCAGGGTATCAAGTTTACCAATAGCTTGCTTCTAAGCAATCTTTAAATAAGGGAGTCGGCTACAGTATTACCAGCACTTTGATTGATGTTGATGCTTGCTACCCTCAGAATACTTTTTATGCGTTTTTTGCAGCAATGCAATGCGAAAAACGCATACTGACGAGAGGTTGTCTGCGTGTCTGTGTGTGTGTTTGTGTGTGTGCGCTGGGCC